ATCGTCGGAAACTTCCCCCCTGCTTTTTAAAGCATTTCCCCACCTGTCTATTCGCCTGAACCGGCAAGAAAAAAATGCTTTAAAATGCGGGGGGGGGGGGAGTTTCCGAGGTTCGCACAGCACACAGCTGAGCCATGCGATCCTCGGAAGCATTTTTTTTACTACCGGTTCACAGAACCAACGACAGTCGTCCCTACTGGTTCAGCCGAACTTGGCAGGATTTCACCCCTGCTTAAGACCATTGCAGCCTCCCCATGGTCATGTGACCAAAACCCAGATGCTTAGCAACTGGTTCCTATTTATGACTGTTGCAGACGTCACGTTTTAAGACCTTCTGACAAGCAAAGTCAATGGGGAAGCTATTGTGGTGCTTAGATCCGGCCCACGGGGCTGTTCTGGAAATAGCGAAGGACCGGCCCGCAATGCCTCTGCCAGCAGAAATGGCACTTGTGAGGGTTGTGCGTGGCCCTTGCGAGCTCCATTTTCGCTGCCAGAGGGTTGCAGGAGGCTGCCACATCTGAAAATGGAGTTTGGGAGCCTGTTTCCACTGGCAGAGTGCTCCGGTCACCACAGGCACCTACCCAACACAAGTGACATCAGGCTGGCCATGCCCACCCTGACCACCCAAGGTCAAACACAACCCTCAATGAAATCAAGTTTGACACCCCCTGGAGTCGGGTCTCCTGCTTGGGCAGGGGATTGGACTAGATGACGTACAAGGGCCCTTCTAACTCTGTTAATCTGTTAGTCCTGAGTCACTTTTTTCAATGCCATAGTTACTTCAAACAGTCGCTAAACCGTGGTTGTAAGTTGAGGACTAACCTGTACCCCAGTCACCCCCAGAAACATCATACATTGCACTATGCCATAATGTGGGTTTCATTTTGGCTTAGTGTGTTACAGGGGTGTCCAAAAGTTGGGAACTTTAAGACTTGTGGACTTCAACTCCCAGAATCCCCCAGCCTGGGAGTTGAAGTCCACAAGTTTTAAAGTTCCCAACTTTTGGACACCCCTGGTGTATTATATGAATCTGGTCTGTTTCTTTTAACCAGATCTTCAACAGATAATCTTCTGTTCATTTCAAGGCTGGAAGTGGCAGAGAGAGTTCAGAGCAGATGCTATCAGCTTTGGGCTCTTTTGCCAGCAAAAGGTTTGGTGATTTCCCCAATTGTGCAAGTTCAGTCAAGAATTGTTCTGCCCTCTCCTAGTTCCAATGCTGTATATTTCCCTGAGCCCCTCTTAAAATTGAACGCTTAAACTAGGACTTGCATTCTCATTAAGGAATCAGGAAGAGTTTGGTAGCATACAGTATTTTCCAAGTATAAAATGTTGTTCAAAGATATATGGTGCAGCTCAGGCAAGTTTATGCCTTTTAATAAAAAATGTGTTAGTCAGAAAAAGATGCCATCAGTCTCCTGTTTTTCCCTCTGATGTTCTCATTAAACGAAGTGCAGCTGGTTCAATCTGGACTTTCATCAATTATTACGTAAAAGAAGATGAAGCTTTGATTAAAAGAATGGCTGAATAATAATAGCTTTAGAAGCAAAGGAGAATCCCATGTTCAGATCAGGACAGTGGCACAGTATGGGGCAGGCATCTTTTGAGGGAATGGAGCACAATGTCTTGGGTGCATTGCATGTAGAGAGAAACACGGATGTCGTGAATATAACTGTTACAAGCAAATATTCTTGAGGCTAGTGCTTGTGAGAAGGAAACATAATGGTAAGGTTGGTTTTGGTGCTAAGGAGAGCCAGTTTGGTGTAGTGGTGGAAGGCCTCAGTCCAGAACAGGGGTGTTAAACTCGATTTCATTGTGGGCCGTATCAGGGTTGTGTTTGACCTCAGGGGGCTGGGGGAGGGGAGTGTGCAGCTTGACGTCGCTCGGGTTGGGGGTGCCTGTGGTGGCCTAGGCTCTCTGCCAGCAAAAACGGTCTCCCGAGCTCTGTTTTTGGCTGCGCTGGCCTCCTACAACTCCCTGCCAGTGAAAATGGAGCACGTGAGGATTGCCTACAGCCCTTCCGAGCTCCATTTTTGCTAGCAGAAGCACTGTGGACCAGATCTAAGCACCCCATGGGCTGAATCAGTGGTGGGTTGCCAATTTTTTTACTACCGATTTGGGTGTGCTCCCACGTGCACATGACGCTTCTGTGCATGCGCAGAAATGTCCGGGCAGGTGGGCGGAGCCTCCCGCCGCCGCTATTACTGGTTCGCCTGATCTGGGCTGAACCAGAAGTAACCCACTTCTGGGCTGAATCCGGCCCACGGGCCTTGAGTTTGACACCCCTGGTCTAGAAACAAGAGACTGAGGACAGTCACTTCCTCCCAGCCTTGGGAAGGAGACAATGGCAAACCATTTCTGAAAAACCTTGCCAAGCAAAGGGCAGAGGCTCATCCAGTTCCCAGAGTCAAAAACTGACTTTAAGGCGTACGGGTGCATCCACCCAGGTGGCAGTAAGGCAGGCTCAAATACAGCACTGCCTACTAAGTTAAGAGTCTATAATGTGCTCGGCTCCTTTTTATAAGCACAGCATCTGATCTGCACAGGTCAGTGAGAAAAGAGAAAGGGATGAACTGGGAGATGAAGGAAGTGATGAAAATTTTAAGATGAGGAAGTGGGTTACAAAGTAAGATTTTCAGACAAGGAAAGGAATTCAGAATGCAGAATCCTTCCATATCTAGTAATCTGTTTTGGAGAATTGACCACAGCAAGATATATTTTTTTTCAGAGAGGAAGGGATAAGTGGAGAACCTGGTGACCCCTTGAGATGTAACTCCAGGCAATATGTGATATGAGCATCACATTATGTATCCCTGAAATACCAGATATGTCAATTAAAAGCCTGGATGTCACCAGAATAATAATAGTAACATTGCCTATAGTTTAAATACTATTTCTAAGGCGAGCATAGAATTGAGCTTCTTTTTTTCTTTTTAGTTTTTTGACTCTTTTTTTTTTACATCAATCTTCCCCAACTGGTGTCTTTCAGATGTACTGACTAGGGGTTCTTGCAGGCCTGTCTTAATGCATGGGCCTGATGGGCACTTGCCTGTGGGCCCCCACGAGAATAGGCCCCCCCATACTAATCTGTGTATGTTGACCCTTCAAGGCACCTTGTATCATATAAAATTAATACTAACATGCAAATATATGTTTAACTTTATCGACCATTCACCACATTTTTCAGAGTATAAGACGCACCGGAGTATAAGACGCACCAAGGTTTTGAAGAGGCAAATAAAAAAAAGTTTTTGCACTCTGCAAACCTCCCAAAAACAGCCCATTTTTGCAAAAATGGACCTGTTTCCCCCCCCCCCCCAAAGGGCGTGAATAGCCTTTAGGAGGCTTGTAGAGTGCTCCTGGGGGAGGGGCAAAAACAAGCAAAAATAGCCCGTTTTTTGTAAAAACAAGCCATTTTTTGTCAAAAAAAAAGGGCATGGATATCCTTTAGGAGGCTTATAAAGTGCTCCTGGGGGCTGGGGAGGGTTAAAATTGAGCAAAAATCAGCCCATTCTTTGCTCATTTCTGCCCTCCCCAGACTCCAGGAGCTCTCTGAAAGCCTCCTAAAGACTCTGCATGGCCATTTTGGTGAAGGGGGCGGGGTTTTGGGAGGCCAAAAATGCTGGATTCAGTGTATAAGACGCACCCAGATTTTCAGCCTCTTTTTTGAAGGAAAAAGGTGCGTCTTATACTCCGAAAAATACAGTACATTTTTATTCCTGTGAGCAAAGGTGATATTCAGCCGGTTTGGACCAGTTCAGGCGAACCGGTAGTGGTGACCTGTGCCCCACCCGTCCCCCCCAGTTCTATGCCGTCTTATTTAGCCACGTTTTTGAAGCTGTGTGTATGCGTGCAAGCCCCGTGCACAAGCAAAGTGCATGCGCAGAAGACATGTACACTCACAAAGTGAGGGTGTGCGTCTGGGGCGAACCGGTGGTAGACTTCTCTGAAACCCACCTCTGGCTGTGAGTAGTTGTCATAGGGACCCCAGTACACTGCTTTGTCCAGGGCCCATAATGCTGTTAAGACAGCCCTGGGTTCTTGAAATATATTTGAAAGGCACAAGTTTGGGAAGGCGGTGTAAATCCATCAAGTCAACCAACTATAATTTAAAATGGAAGTTGTAGGATCGTTGGTGCTCTCTGAGTTTGGTGGTTTTCTTGCAGACATTTCATTACCAAGCTAGGTAACATCATCAGTGCTAGCAAATAGAATAGAAGTTATAGGGCTTTGCATGTACAGAAGAAATGGGGGCATCGCCCCCAACCACGGTGTCAGTATAATTATTCTATAGTTTTCTTGATCTTCATGCATCCGTTTTTTTTTCTGTCTTTGTAGAACTGCTACCCACACAATCAGCAAAAGATTCTGCCAGCAAAACAACCACAGTCCCATTGAAAGATAAGAAAAGTAAGTGCTTTCTAGATTTACTTAAGAAATCATCTTTAGCTGGCGTGCTTATTTATTTTTGAAAGGAAGGAAAGGATATTTGTCTCAAGGGCCTTATAATCTAACAAACAGCATATGGTGGACAGCATCTGAAAGGGAGGAAAATAGAAGCTAGGGGAAAGTATTCATTTATTTCAGATATATCTACTTAGGCTCTGATAGAGCGGTGTCTGGTAGCTATAATGACTTTTTACTACAGGTACTCAATAGCCAGGGGTGGGCTTCAATAATTTCAGCAACGGGTTCTCTGCCCGGTTGCTGGGTGGGCATGGCCTAGTTGGCCTCCTGCACCACAGTGGAGAGGAGGGTATTTTCACCTTCCCCAGGCTCCAGAGGCTTTCCTTGAGCCCCTGGGAGGGCAAAAACTGCCTCCCCCTGGCTCCGGAGGCCTTCTGGGAGGCTCGTTTCCCCCCCTCCCTGAGCCTTTGTGCAGGGACTGCACTTACCTCGCATCCAAGATAGGCCACGTGGAGACTCCTGGGAGGGGCGGGGTGGGGGAAGGAAGGGAAGGGTGGGCGGGGCCAGCCAGGGATGGGATTTGGAGATTTTTTGAATTGGGCATAACGTTAGCTACGGCTTCTCCCAAACCCGGGCAAACCCGTAGCAGGCCACCCTTGTCAATAGCCATTGCAATTTTCTGCCTTGTTCATGGAATTTTATAGCAGGGGACGAGAGAGTTCAGATGATCAATTCACACAACTTCCATTCACTGCTACTGGCTTTTTTTTGTTGTTGTTGTTTGGTTTCTTTCTCTTAGAAAAAGTCAACCATGGCAGTGGAGAGAATTGAAACATTACATAATAGTGGGCCCTCAATTATAGGTGTTTTTTTCCAGGTCTTCTTGGTTCCCCCCCCCCCCCTTTTAGTAGGCATCTTTGCCTCTTCCATAAAAAGAACTCATTCTTGCCCTCAAAAGTGACAAACAGAGCAAGGCAGATGGTTGGGTGATCCTCTGGTCTCCTCCACAGGTGATGGGAGAATCCGGCTGGTGAACGGGGCTAACGCCTGCCAAGGCCGAGTGGAGATATTCTACAAAGGAAACTGGGGCACTGTGTGTGATGATGAATGGGAGCTGCACGATGCCAACGTGGTGTGCAAGCAGATGGACTGTGGTCGTGCGGTGGCCTACAGGACCAACGCCTACTTCGGCTACGGCACTGGGCGCATCCTCCTAGATAATGTGAATTGCGATGGAAATGAGCCACAGCTCTCCGCCTGTTTCAGCCTCGGTTGGGGCATCCATAACTGTGGTCACCATGAAGATGCTGGGGTCGTCTGCTCTGGTGAGCAAGTTGGAAAAGAGACCTCAACCACCTAGACAAGGCAGGCAGCTCCCAGAGGGATTTTGAATAATAATATAATAGAGTAGAGTAGAGTAGAGTAGAGTAGAGTAGAGTAGAGTAGAGTAGAATAGAATAGAATAGAATAGAATAGAATAGAATAGAATATGGTGTGTACAAATTGTTAACAAGGCCAAACTTGGAAGATTCTGTTCTCTTCTTTGAATGATTTTTGTAAATGTACTACAAGTAACCTGATCTTGAAGTAGGAAACTCCAACTTTGAAACCGCTATTTCAAAGTAAAATAGGGTGACATTGACTGAAATGTTTTTTGGGGTGTGGGTGTGGGTAGAGAGATTAGGCCCGTGATGGCGAACCTGTGGCACGTGTGCCAGAGGTGGCACACGGAGACCTCTCCTTGAGCATTCGTGCTGTCATCAGCTGGTCTTCTGGTTTCCGGCACATGCATGCATGTCAGCCAGCTGGTCTTTGGGTTTGTGGCACTCCAGTGCATGCAAAGTGCATGCAAAGTGCACCGAAGTGCACACGGATGCGCACTGGCCAGCTGGTCTTCAAGTTTCCAGTGCTCCAGCGCCAGTGGTGGGTTTCAAATTTTTTTATAACTTCTTCTGTAGGTGTAGCCTGCTTTGTGGGAGTGGCTTGCTGGCCATGTGACCGGGTGAGAGTGGCTTGCTGGCCATGTGACCAGGTGGGAGTGACTTGCCAGCCATGTGACCGAGTAGGAGTAGCCAACTTGTAAAATGTGGTGGAACTCACTTAACAATGCTCTTGCTTAGCAACCAAAATGTTGGCTCAGAAACTCTGGCATTTGAAGCACGCAAG